GACAAATTATAAGATACATTCACTGCATCCTTACTATAGACATTTACAAAATGTAATGATTATCAGGGATAAAGATACACTTACTAACAAAAGTTATGAAACAAACTAAAGTTTATTTATTTTGTTTAGTTTAAAGGAGTCATTTTCATATTGATTCTAGCGTTGTAAAAGTACGTTTAAAAAAATATTTACAATTACTTAACGTATAAAATGATTTCTTTTATTTTTAACATATGTATCTCAGGAAATAAAAATATATGAAAATTCTTGAAAAACATGGTTATCGATTACATTCTTATAACATTTATTTTATATTGAGCAAGATCGATAATTAATACTACGATCGAGAACGAATTTTAATTTTTATCTTATTTAATATTTTCACTGATATTTTTATTTTTGTTTATTGATAACGATCCAACAGGAATCGAAATGTTTGATTTTGTTTTGTTTGTTACTCAGCAAATTAAAGTTTTGTATTTTAATTAGATGACATGTTTATTTATTAATGATTTAAAATTTTAGTTTATAACGATTAATCTTAGGCCCTTTGTCTTTCTGTTTCTTAAAAAACATTTTGTTTTTAAAATTTTTATTAATAAGTGTATACTTCAATCACATCACAATTAATAATCACTGATTGTTTGTTAAACATTTCATTTGGTCAGTCTATACAATGACGAATAAATTTAATATAAAATAATCATAAAAATAATTATTAAATTATTTAGTTACTATAGTTACAAAAAATATAACTAAATTAAAGAGGAACAAAATTAAATTACAATAGAAAAAAGTAACTCTAATTTTGTTACACGTAACATTGAATTATTTTCTAACTCTGATAAATTTAATATATTTAAAATAAAGAGAATTAGAAAATATTAAGAATAATTTAATATTTTAAAATAAATTTTATCGATATCTCGCTTTTTACTGTAATTAAGAATTTCTTTGTATTTTAGTAATTCGGAACTCGGGCAAACGTTATGGAAGAACAGCGGTCTGTCGACGGTAATTGCTCAAATGAGGGATGAAAAAGGTGACATCCTATGGGAGAAAATCCTAGACAGTTTTGAGAGTCCTACTATACGTCGAAGGTGGATCAAGTCGCTCACGAATTTTGTAGCTGAATGGATCTCTCACATTTCCGAACCAATAAATCAGCAACGCTATCTTACGACCGCGCAATTCGTCGGTAATAGCTTTCTAAAATCTCAGGGATTCCCAAAAACAATGATGTTCGATGCTTCAAAACCAGTGGAGAGTTTCTCCAGGTTAATATGAAAATATTTAATTAATTAAGTTCTCTCTATTTTTTTGTGAATATATCTAAAAATCAATATAAAATTTTTCGCTTAGATTGATAAACGGATTGACGAAGAGATACCTGAACATAAAGTTCGACAGCTCACAGTATGTAAGACCGGCAGTAGCATATTTTCAGGAATTAGTAAGCTTGGCTTCCGAGAAAGGATTCATTATGTCCCGAATAAATGCACGAGAGCTAAGCAACAAACTAAGCGACATTATCAACAATGATATCATCGGTCCTGTTCTCAAGGTAAACACTTTTCTTGCAATTATATAATTAACAATATCTTTTTTACAATAAATTATTACATAAACAGGTAATCTTATTTTTAATTTTTCATAGTTTTGTTGCTAAAGATTAAAAATCGATTTAATTAAAATTTGATGCTTTTTATAACTTAATTAAAAACCGTTGAAATTTTCAAGATTTAATATGTTTAAAATGTTTAGTACCACAAACAGAATTTCTTAAAATTACAATACAATAATACAAAAAAAATAGAAATTTATTTGCAATCCGCTTATACGAACTTTATCTCATTAATATCCGAATTTACATAATTGGGTTAATAAGTAGGATAATAGAAGTTCGGAACTCAACTATTTTTAATTCTTCAATTTTTTTGAACATCAACTTCTATTATCGGAATTAATAAATACTAAAGAAAAAAATTAACGAACCTTTATTATCCAAATATCGAAACTATTTTATTTTTCCCGAGATTTTTGAGAAAAAATCAACTAAACTAAACACAAAGTTGTATTGTCTATAAGATCAGAATCTAAAAAGTTGTAATTTTCATATTCATATAATTCGTATTACATTTCAATTTGTTAATTAAAGCTACCCTGTTGAATGAAAATAAAAATCAGAGCGTAAGTCGAATATAATGGGAGAGTACAGAAGTAAACGAAAGAAGGCGAAAACATGTAAAACATTGAAACAATGAAATGTAAAAGAAGTATTTGCGCTTCTTTTACATTTTGATGTTTCAATTATCCGATTGACACTCTGATTTTTATTTTCATCAGGGTGTTAATTAAATTTTTACTTATGTTTTATATTTTAAATATCAATATATTATTTATTTATTTCTAGTCGTATCGAGCGTTCAAATGGGCGACGAAGGTGCCGCAATGTGCTAGTCAAATCTTATGTACCATAAATGAGAAGAGCCAGCAACGAGAGGACAGCAGTAACGAAGTATTTGCACGCATACGTAGCGCATTGTTGAGGGTAGCAAGTTTCCCCGCAGCCTGGGCAGTCAGTAATAAATTAGGTATTAATTTCTGGTCTCTCTACGGAGCCATTATGGAGCAAGACGGATGCATCGTGAGTAAACTATAATCCTCTCTATAATTCAGTTAACAGAAAGAAAATATATTTTAATTTACACTCTAAAGTAAAGAAAAACTATTTTCTTATTTTTTCTTTGCTTTTAGAATAAATATCCAGCAGATTGCATTGCTTTCCATGAAGAGGAGATCAGAGTGACCACGGAAAACATTCATAGCGAATTATGAGTTTAGCTCGTTAGCAACCTGTGAAAGATATTGCTAAGTCGCCTCAAAATTAGAAATACGTGTCGCGAAATCGTGTGTTCTTATTTATTTTATCGTATCTATTGCACAAAATAAAATACGCTTAACGAAATTATGTTAAATGTGGCGGAGACTTGATAGAAGGGACTATCAATGAATATCTCTTCAATATACAATGTTTGTATGTACAAACAAAAAACTAAAATATCAATTTTTAATATTTTATGTTAATAAAACGTAACCAGAAACAAAAAACACTTAGAAGATGTGAAGATATTTAGAAAATGTTAACTGATGAATGCCTAAATGTCTATGTGGTTTAATTTAAAAAATTTTTATAATATTTATGAATAAGTATTTGAGAAAGTTCTCAAAAAGCATATGATGTATGCAAAAAGCTTCCAATTTTTTTAGCTGTTTTTTAATAGATAAGAATCACGTTTTAAAAATAATACGCTAAATATAATATTTCTCTTAATGACATCAAAAACTGAAAACAATACTTTTTAATGACAGTTTTAATTATATTACTTATTTTCTTTTTTTAAGAAAAAAAATAGTATCATAATTTTATTATCATCATGCGCAAGTATCATTTTTCATGTTAATGCTTCAATTGTTGCAAATGACAAAGATCTCATTCGTGTGATTGGGATGATATCATGTGATATTTTTGTCTTAAAGAATAAAGATTAAGAATATTAAAATCATTATTTGTATAAAAATACAAAAATGAATCATTTCTCTGATTCATATTTTAAATGTAATGTAATGTAATTTAATGTAATGTCGGATGTAATTATGTCACCAATATAATAAATCTTTTTTATCATAGGATAAAAAAATTAAACTTATTGAATATCAAAATTTATTTTCATGTTTAAATGTCATTAAGAAAAAAAATTTTATAAAAACAAGTTATTAAAAGCTGATCATTCTGAATATGAAACTTTAAAATGGATTCAATAGCCGCAAAAATAATATCGTGCGAAAATAATATCATATCATAAATACACCAGAATGATACAGATTTTTATCACCTCTAACAAAGAGCTGCTGAATCGACAACATTATTCAAATTATATATTTTTTTTAATTACTTATATATAGTATATATTCGTTATTTAGATGAAAGTATAAGTTATGGATATTTTGTGCATATCGTAAATTATACTTTAACCGTCTCCGCGACTTTTCTTTGCGAGTGAAATAATGCATGGTGCTCAAATCTCTATATACATATAAGTATAAATATTGTATTAATAATTGTATCTATATGAATTATACATATCGTGTCTTTCCTCTTGTTACATCTCTTTATTTTTTTATTTCTCACTAGATAAATCTATAAAAATTCCAATCTATATTTAAAACAGCAAGAAGGCACATTTAAGTAGAATTTGCCGTATATATTTTATGGACTCGCAATTACTCTCTTTTCTGCGAAAAATAGAACTTCTCGAGTCCAAAATGGACGGAAGTCTGACAATTGGATATATTCGATATGACGACGGATTTGTAGAACCCGTTCGATATACGTACATTCATACCAAATCTACATAACAATGTTCTAAATAATTTTTTGTAAATAGTAGTTAAAAGATAAATAAAGATCATGTGTAAAATGTACAATGGAGATGGTGTAAGCCTTGTTCCTTTCGTGCGCTCTAATGAGGCATAAACGTCAATTATGTCTCTCGATTTCCATGGTGTGTTTATTATTTCCTTTTAATGTTCTTGCATGCCCACTCTAAACCTTCCTAAAAATAGGGACAAATTTAATTCTAAACTTAATTTTAAAATGCAAATAATATAATTCCATAAAATTATATATTGATGTGAATTTAAATTTTTATGTCTAAGATTTTTATTTTTAAACAGTTTATATATTGTCCAATATATTGAAATATAAAAAGTAATTAATGAAAATTCTATATATAATTAATGTATCACATTTTCAAAATTTAAAAGCCAAAAAATATTTGCTACACACTTTCACGCCTTTGCCTTCAATAGCGATGCACGACTGTATTTGCCAATCACGATCCTTGATATTGTGTAAACCGAGTCCCTCGGCTATTTCAGCTGCTGTTACGGCGTGTCCCAAGTCTTGTTTATTCGCGTATACTAATAATGGCACTCCGCGTAATTTTTCTTCCAATAGAAGTTCTGATAATTCTTGTCCCGTTTCCTCCAACCTTTTGATATCCGCACTATCAACAACGTAAATCTATAATCAACATTACAAAATTTTAATTTAATTTTTATCTAGAAAGAAAGATACAAGATTAAAATATTTGCATAAATTTTAAGATTATTTTTAAATAAAAACAGAACGCGATAGACGCTTGAATAATCACAATTAATTTATAATATTTATTAAATAAAATCGATTTATTAAGAAAGAAATCCAATATTTATTTAAATTAAATCGCTATAATTATTTATAGAATTTTACAATATTTGAGAGAACACATAATTCTTAATAAATATGCATATTATTTGAAATATATATATATTTGAAATATACATAAAACTCCATTTATCTACATTTCATTTATACAAACAAGTTTATATTCAGTTTTAAATTACGAATAATAATTATGAATTTATATAGCTGAGCTCTTATTATCCGAACTATAAAAACTTAAGTTTCCTAAACGTTCTTATTATTGAAAAAATTAATAAATATTGATAAAAGAAAGAGCTAATAAGCTTCTATGCAAACTATTCGACTATTGGAATTATCTTGTCTCCTGACATTTTTAGCTAAGGGAATTTTTCTATTATTATTTCGATTATTAAAACAATAAAACTTCAGTAAAAAAAAACATAAATTATTCCTCTTTTATATATTTTGTTTTCTTTTCTATATTAAATTTTATATAATAAATTAATTTATTATATTTCATTAGTCATAAAATGTTACATAAAAACTGTATTATTAAATAATGATAAAAAATATAATAATTTTTATATTAAAATTTAAAAATTATATTTTTTAAAAATTAAAGAAATTAATAAATAATAAAGACTTACAAGTACATCCGTATTCTCGAAATAATTTCGCCAATATGGTCGAATTTTTCGAGCTCCACCAATATCCCAAACATTTAATTTAAAACCTTCGCTCTGAACACTTTTTATATTAAAACCTTGTGTTGGAGTTACCTTAAAAAAATCAATTTATTGATACAATACATTTGTCATATTATATATTTTACAAATATACTTTATATCAATTTTTACTACACTGTCTATAAATTAATTAATTTAAATTAATTAATTTTGGAAATTAAAAAGAAATTAGTTTACTTGGGTAATATCTTCGCTTGCCAAAGATTTTAAAATAGTCGTCTTTCCAGCATTGTCCAGACCCAGTAGTAATAATCGTAGCTCTTTATCAGGATTCGATCGTAATTTCCGTAAAATGGCAAGCAGACCCTAACATTTTATCAATGATTATGATTTGCAATGAATTTGTATTGTGAAAAAAATTGAAATAGTTTTGCAATTTAAATGGTAGCAAATACTTTATTTTTCAATATATCAATAATTAGATTATCTAGTAAATTAATGAATAAAATATAAAGAAGAAAAAATTTTCTTCATTATAATTATTTTTAAAAAATTATTAATTACTACTATTTACTATTAATCTATTATATTACAAATTACAATTACACTTATTATAGATATAATAATTATATTATTACAATAATATTACAATTAATAATAATTAATAATTT